GTGTTTCGGTCCAATGGTAGGAGAGACGCAGCAGGGCATGTTCGGATTTAAATTGCTCCTTACAGACAGCCTGCAGATGTTCACAGCATCTTTGGTCCTATAACTAGCCATCATCCGAGCCAGGGTGCCCCCATATACCACACTGCAGCAGCAGACTCTGGTTTAGCTGTCTGAGAGGTAGAAGCCAATACAGCATACTGCTGTTTTACCTAGAGGCTTGCTGGTATGTGACACACTCCACCGTATCCTTCATGCCCTGTTTTACATCTGAACACGCCCAGTATGTTATGCCTGCAGCACGTGAGCAGCTCTATTAGCCAAACAATAAGCCTGCACTGTTTGTGTTATATTGTAATCTGTATGAATAAGCAGAGTTTTGATCTTAATTAACTTTTTAAGTCGTTCAAAAGTAGAAATGTCAAACATTCACTGGTTCAAGCTTCTCAAATGGCAATTCCTTTTCTCTTTTACATCACTTTAAACTAAATATCCCTGGGTTTTTAGTTTCAGTAAGACAAAAACAAGCAACCTGAAGATGTCACCTTGAGCTCTGGGAAACAGTGATAGACGTCTTTTACTATGTATTGATGATTTGCAGCTCAATGTTTATGAAATTAAATTGGAAAAATAATCAACAGATTAATTAATATGAAAATAATCATTAGTCACAGCCTATATATTGCAACTGTACATCTGTAAAAACCAACAGAAAAGACAGTAATGATGTTATGTTTACCGGCTAGCTTGAGGACGTTAATTCACACTGAACTGCTGATATTTTACTGGGCATCAACCAGTAGGCAGAAGTGTTGGAGTATGAGTAGCTCATCCTGCATCTCTCTTGTCTAAATTGAACAAAAGCTGCAAACAATGCTCACATGAATTAATATTATGCTAAAATTAAAACACTTCCTCTCTGTTATAAAGTTAGTTTCAGTGTCATCCTGTAGGTCTGACACAGTATGATTGATGACCACTCCACTGCCTTAAACAGCAAATTGTGAGCACTGATTTGTTGACTTGCAGGTAAAAAGATGTCTATGTGTTTAGATTAAGGCTTGATCTGACTCCTGTTGAAATAACAGTTAACACTAGGAAATTTAGACATTAAAAAACTTTTACTTTTCAACTGAATTTAGCCCCATTTTTAACCTACACATTTGAGCTGCAAATCACTATAATCCACACAGGGTTGTTACATTAACACTAGTAAATTCTTGAGATGACACCTGGCCAAATATTTAGCTCAATTCAAGAGAAACAACAGTCTTGTAAGAGCTGGCTGACTGAATCCATGACATCCTTTAACATCGTATCGTATAAAAAATGATTATTTTCCATCAATCTGTCAATTATTTTTGCGATCAATCATTTGGTGTATGAAACGCAAAATAGATAGTGAAATAGATAGTCCACTTTCTCACTCCATCCTACTATTGTCAACTCTTGTGTTTATCATAAAACATGTTTCCAGTGCAGTGTCCCTTCTGCAATCAGAGATGGGTCCTATATCATGATCCATCAAATGAGGATATTAAAGCCGTCATTGCTCACAAAGTATCATATATCAAATTGATAGTACTGACCTAATATATGAAACTAGAACTTTTTTAATTTCGCACATAACAAAGTCTAGTGTATGGATGGTAAAAAAAAAAAAAAAAAAGGGAGCATGCTATTGGTCATCTTATCCTTATGAGAAGAGACCCCGCACAATCACATAGGTGTTTTCACGTATTCTGGCTGATCAGACTGCTGCTTAGTTCAAAGGCGGGGAGAGTTGTGATGGGATTTACGTAAGGTCACTGAACTCCATTTAGTAATGCCTTGTTCACATCCAGCTGCCGAGTGGGAAAAACCATTCACGTCAGCCTCTGACTTATAATTCCAAATTGGGGATATAGGGACACAGACAATATAAAAATAACTGCAGACGTGTCAACAAGCTGTTGGCAGAATAGCTGCAAATGCACCATCACACACATCAAAATAAAATCCAATATTAACACTGATACAATCGATTCATCTTATTTTATAGAAGCTTTACACTGTTTGTTTGTATCTGGTTCCAGTTTGTAAGATAAGGTGTACAAATGTAACACAACAAAAGCAGCTAATTTAAGCTGTTTATCTAGGGTCACTACAAAGTTAGCAATAGGGCTAACCACTTTGGAACAAAGCATGGTCACTCTCAAGTCCAAATACAGGTGCTCTTCCCATTCTGCCCACATTGCATGAATGTAGCATAACAGTTGCAACAAAGCAGACAGGATGTCAATTAAGCACAGTTTCATCAGCCAAAACATAATACTACCTGTGTAGGTTTACCATATGTTACTTTAAGTAGCTCATTGACTAAACTGCTACAAGTGAGCTGTCAGAATTACCATATTCAAAATCAAATGTGTCAAATCATCATCCTACTTTCTCCAAAACAATTCAGTGGACATGAATCAAGTTCTGGTGTTCTCATTTTTGTATTACAGTCAGCCTAAGTTACATTATTACACAAAAGAATCTGAGCCAGTGAGATAATCGAACAAAAAAATCTTCTACACTGTAAGTGCTTTGTAACACATAGACAGTATGCCACTTTACAACTATAATATAGTTTATTTTGTAACAAATACATTAATGAACATGGATTATTTTGACAAAATTGGGGAAATCAGGAAATTAATACTCATTAACATTTTCAATGTTTTACTGAAAAAAGTAAACAGTAAAAAGACTGGCCCTAAATCAGATGACCACTCACCTACACAACCCGTTCAACAAGAAGATTGACAGCAGAGGCCTGGATGTGAACATTCAGTCTGTTTCCTGTAGCTCCATCTTTTTCCTGTGAGCTAACATAACAGAAACATTGCACGACAATTAAAATAACAACAATTGTCTTAAAGCAAAACTACAATGGTTGAAAGCATAAATAACACTTTTCCTCTGTCAAAATTCATAATCATCTAAATGGCATTTCAGTGCACACAGGGGTTTCGCTGCTACAGTTGTAGTTAGAGTTGATTTACTAACCATAGTTTCATATTCATTCCAGTGCCCTTTACTGCCTGCAGTCCAGTTTAAGTGCTTATGTGACCTGAGGGACTGGAGGATGAGGCACTAAGGGGCCAGAAAACACCACCATAGAACCACCAATTGTTTACACAGTACACAGCAGGTCAACTACACATGTTGGTTTGTAACTTAGCAGAGGTGTTGTGTAACTAAAAGCATTCACTCAAGTACTGTAGTACAAATTTAAGGTAATTGTACTTTACTTGAGTCTGTCTAATTCCACTCCACTACAGTTCAGAGGGAAATTTTTTACTTATTTTTCCACTACAAAACACATAGTAAGAGCTAATAGAACATTTTTTTGGTATTAATAACTTCTACTAATACTTCTACAAGCACTCTTTCCTGATTATACTTAGATACTTTACCTTGAGTAACATTTTGAATGCAGACCTTCTACTTATTTTTACAATGTGGTAGAATTTTTATTCAAGTAAAGAATCTAAATACTTCTGCCACAATTGTAAATTAGACAAAGATGTGGCTTTGGGTGAAATTGTACAAAAACATATGAAGATTTGTCACATATAAAACTATACATAGTAGGGAAAAAGTTAGGTGGTTGTCACTAGCCAACTTCATTTTTGTACAATAAAATGCTAAATTAATGAGAAGCTCCAATGACAAAGCACATGTACTCAGTTTCAAAGAGTAGCAGTGATGTATTCTTAAAATCTCATGTTGTTTCTGGGTAAAAATAAAATGTGTCAAAACTACCATAAACATGAGCATTTTAGCACATGTGAGGTAGCATTTAAAGAGTTACAGCTTGATTGAATACAAGCATTCAGGGAAAACCGGTGAATGTTTGTAGGCTGCCTCACATTAGCTAACATTAGTTTGCTAACGACAGCATTTAGCTTGGCTACATAGGAAACCACAACTACTTCAGGTAGCTACTTTTGAAGTCAGCACTTTTGAAACAAAGGAATTAACAGTAGGTTAACCACAACAAGGTTAAATTGAACATACCGCCAAAAACTTCATGCCAAAATCCGACCAGGATTAGCATATTAGCATAATGAGAACGAGCATACACGATTAGCCTGCTCAGGGAGCCGCCAGGCTGGTGGAGTGGGGGGAGCCGGTGGGCCTGTAGGCGGGGCTTGTTGTTTAAGAGGGAGGAGAACTAAATTTAGGCACAAGGGCGGGGCATGGAACAAGGATGCTGTGTAAGGTGAAATGGACAGGTGCATACAGGTGTTCTCAAAACAACAGGAAGTAAGCTAGTTGTTGAAATCATTTATCACACAACAGTTGCAGCACCCGTGGAAGTGATGCACAGCTCATGGAGGCAATTCAGGTAGGCTGCTTCAGAACCCATATTCACTTATTGCAGCAATTTGTGTAAAAAATAAAAAATCTGTTATAACTCAATTAATTCTGACCACACATGTATGATACACATATTTTTAGATTCAGTGTGAGTTGCACTTTGTGAGGATATTATTACCTTATGTCCATTATAAATACACGTTCACAAACCCGCATAGAAATCATAGAAAAAAGACAAGCTCCAGAACTTGCCTGAGAATCATTGCGTTTTTAAATTTTCTCCAGTATCAAAATAATCACTTGGTAGTTGATGATATTTGAAATGATACAAAGCAAAAGAGGAACTGTGAATAGTCAATTCGGCGAATTTAATTTTCTAAAATGTAAACAAATTTAGGTTTGAAAATAAAAAAGTCATGGCTTAAGTTGTAGCCCACAACATAACTTACTGAGTTTATGGTAACAATTTGATCTGGTTCTTGTTACGGTTTATCTCTACACATAAGTGAAAATTTTATGTAAATTAGTCAAACGACTTTTTGTAGAAAAAAATATTTAATTACACTGATTTTGAGTGGGTTTTATGCTGCTCTGATATGACAACTTTTTATCAGTCAAATCTGGCAACACTGTTTTACGACACTTATCCGCCATTTCCGGCATAAACACATGAACGCCCGAGCGACAGCGAGAACATGAGAGGTCAAAAGTTATGATCCTAATCTTTACCGGACACAGAACATAACACTCAGACATGGTAGGTCGGACTTGTTATTTACTAACTTGAAGGACAATGTGAAAATGGTCGCATGTCCAGGAGTCTGCCTGAACGTCGGATAACGTTCATTCTAAATTGCTAAGCTAACGTTAGCTTTACTCAAATGTGCATGATCCAGCACGACGTAACAAAAACCGAATTAACGCTTGTTGTACCGCTTTAATTAGCCTGTTAACCAACGTCAACATGGTAAATAGTGGTTAGAAATAAATGTAGCTAAAGTTACTGAGCAATTGCTTAAGTTGGTCTTTGCAATATGTTATGCCACAGTTTGATCATGTGCCATTTGTTTACATTGCAACTGTAGTACAGTTTGTTAGTCGTTGCTGGTGGTTTTCTGTGAATCCTCTCAATGGTTTTATTATACTCTCCTCTTTCCTCTCTCTCTCTGCAGGCCAGTTCCATGGTGGCAGTGGGACTGGCTTTGGCAGCAGCCGGATTTGCAGGTGGGTAACTCGAAGCTAACGCAGAAAAGGTATCTGTCTGTACAAGTGTTTCTATTATTTTACCCACTCCATTTCTATCAGTGAGGATTGACTACAAAAAACAGAAACATAAGACAGTACAGTTAAACATGAGCACAAACTCTGCCCTGGCAGAGCAAAAGAAAAAAGGTTTTAAAAAAAGTTAAACTGTGAGCTTGAGCTTTTCAGACTTGTTGTCAATGAGTCTCATGTCTTAATACTGTCCCAAGTCAAGTCTGAAGTCCAAATGAGAATAGCAATTCAAAATACTACTATATTGGACCCCACTGTAAGTGTGGCCTCTATTGTTCTGTTTCTCAAATAGAGTATTAAAAAATCATTTTGCCATGGGTAACAAAACTCCAGCTTGAAATGTAAAAGACATCACATACAGCATGTGAAACAGGTGTCATCAGTTTTACAGTTATCACTATAGTGAAAAACCTTTAGTAAAAGTCTTTTAGTACAACTCACCTTTCAGAATAATGGTTTCCTTACACTAGATTAATTTTGATTATAATAACCATGAAGTTAGCATCAGCCTTAAAATAAGAGTTCTTTGTCTTCCAGGTCGCTATGCCATGCAGGCAATGAAGCAGATGGAGCCTCAGGTGAAACAGGCCCTCCAGAGCTTCCCCAAGACAGTAAGAAGAGAAACAAGCACACAATAAGAATATCTCCAAATGTTAGTATGATATGTGCTAGATAACTCTTGATCTCTCACTTTACTTTTAATGAGTAGTTTTGCGAGTAAGGATCCGTCAGCAGACCCATCATGGTGAGCTGGTAACTCTATATGTTGTTGCAGGCTTTTGGAGGAGGGTACTACAGAGGTGGATTTGAACCAAAGATGACCAAGAGAGAAGCTGCCCTAGTTTTAGGTGTCAGGTATGTGGACACTCTCTCCCACACCAGTAGCTCTTTGGACCACCCAGCACAGTTAAGTCCACCAGTTATGTCACTGTACAGCTATGATAATAGTATATAGTATACAGTATATTAATGGGTTAGTTTCCGTCCTGCACATTAGCTTGTCTGGTTGTTGTTTGTCACTGTATTCTCCACTACAGCAGCAAACTAACTTCACAACCATTGCTGTTCCTACTGTTTATTAACAGTAATAATTCATGGATGTACCACTGTTTTTCAGTCCCACAGCCAACAGGAATAAGATCAGAGAAGCCCATAGAAAACTGATGATCCTGAACCATCCAGACAGAGGTGAGTGGCAGCTTTAAAGGTTTCCCATTGGTTCTTACAGATTTCTGGTATTAGCTGGAGGCTAAAAGGAGGTATTCAACAGACAAACTGCCCTTGTCTGCTTTGCTACGAGTTTCACTTTCTAGAGATTATTTGTTACTCAAATTATTATATTTGGGTGCCCAGCAGTGCAGCAAGTTGCAGACATTAAAAGGTCTTACAATCAGTTTTTAAGGGGCAGTGAATCAAGGTGCGTTGGCATAAACACTATATCTAGCTTGACTGCACCTTCGTTTTAGAGTAAAATTTAACAAAATGTAACATGGACATTAAGTGTCTATCTGTCTCCGTCTCTCTCTCTCTCTCTCTCTCTCACACAGGTGGATCTCCCTACCTAGCAGCAAAGATAAATGAAGCAAAGGATATGATGGATGGCCAGACAAAGAAATAGTCCTGGAGTTGCTGGTGACATAAATGTGATTTCACACTGGTCTCACTCGTGCTGTTTGAACTGACTGGCTTGAGAGATTACCAGACTTTTCTAACTGATTATTGTCAAATAAAATCACGCTGTACAAATTGTTGATGGAGCTCTCCCTCGTTATTATCCTATGTTTTAATTTTACTTTGCAAATGTTAGGTCTGAGAGGGTTTTCCACTTGACAGGAACCCAAAGTAATAGGTTTACATTTTTCAAGCCTAAAACAAATCTCATATTCCCACATGTACACAGTATATTGAATTTTATACTAAACACTACAGTTTCGAAGGATACCCACTTGATTTGACTGAAAAGGACTGCTGTAGATTTTTGTCCTGGATCACTGACATTGACACTGATTTCTTTGTGACCAGTATTGACAGGAGAAGTTACAGTGAACAAAAATTCTTCTGGTGTACATATGGGCTTATTGTTTGTTAAACATTTCAAAATTAGACATGATATAGAAGTACTGCTAATCTTTATATTTGTCAATTTCTAGCTTGGTGAATGTATCTATTTGATAGGTAGACATAAATTGGTAGGTAGACTGTAAAACTAACCCTAACCCTTCGTGAGAGCCAGACACAGTTGGGTTTTAGATCTACACAGAAGATCAAGTTTATTTAAGAACTACCTGCATACAAAACATATTGCACATCAACCAACCAGAACGATCCTTTAAAAAAAAACAAAAAAAAACATACTGGATGTCACAACTCTCAGTAGTCCAAATTGTCAACTGTTTTCAAAGTAACCCCTAGGTAACGCATTGTTTAGTGTCAAGAAAAAGAAGAGCTTCTCTTGTTTTTTTTGTGTTTTTTTAAATACTGTACATTTTTTAAATAAATAAACCAAATAAATCTCCTTCCTTAATGAAACAGTCATGACCAGTTTCCAGCCAGCCAGACTGTGGAAGAACCATGAAAATGACATTGTCATCATCTGGGCCCGGTTTTCCAGAAACATCTCAACACCAAGTTAGTCTGGTTCTTACTTCTTCAGCAGGATTACTACAATGGTGTGCATGTAAAATGGGAAATTAAGCTCAAAGATACAGCAAATGTCCTTAAAGTCTCTGATGATTTAATGTGATTTCTGAGAAGAACCAGCATCAGTAACCTCCTTGTCATATTCAATGAAACTACCTGAAGTTTAGCAATGAGATGTTTCCAGGAAACCCAGCACTGATGGCTACATCTCTGTCCAGCACTAAACAGTAACAGGCCAGTTTCCAGACTCAACTACAATCAACTTTTTCAACAAAAAAAAGGTTACGTTTCAGTGCAAAGACTCTTCTATTGTTTGTTTCTTTTCCAGACACTCCGTAATAACATTTCTTCTATGACCGAAGTGGTTGCATATTGAAAAACAAAGCAGCTAATGTCAAACTCCTCAACAGATATATATAAAGAATAACTTGACTCATTTACCCCACAAACATTAAGAATAGACACACCTGATTTTAAAAAGATATGCCTCTGAAATCCTCTCAGGGTCTTTCGGTGTTAGCCTGCACCTGCCTACGGTGCCAAAAGGAGGCAGCTCATCTGTTTCGACTGTTGGCAGGTGAGAGGCAACCAAGTAACACAGAAAAAAGTGGAAGGATTTCAGATGGTGTGCAGAGCCAGGCAACAACATGTTGAATCTACTCTCAAGGCACAACAGCTGATCACATGTATGTCAAACATACTTGGGGTTTTCCAACAAACGTATCTGCACTGTGGTATTGCTCATGCAGAACATTTAAGTTACAAACTACTTCAGATGCACAAAACATCCTGATTAAAGGTTGTGGAAGCATCTTTCTGAGTCCACCTGGTAAAAGGCAGACCTTTTTTTATTCTAAAACCCTGCTATGATATTATTTATACCAGTAAAAAAAGAACTGCTGCATTCATACCACAGTATGAGTTTGAGTGGAATCCCTGTCTGCGTTTTATAAATACTGCATTCAGTCCAACCTCTCCCTGAGCTCTCAATGAAGAGTGGACTGAAAAGTACAGCTAAGTAGAGATGTCTGTAAGTCTGTGTGTGTTTGACTATCTTTGGCAAGCTCATACAGGAAGAACTATTGTTAAAAAAACTGTAATAAAATGGATAGTTGGACAGAACATGTAAAAGGTGGTGGTGGTGGGTGGGGAGGTGGGGGAGTTAGGTTCAGACTTCTAAAACTTGCGCAGAGAAACAGGTTTCAAATATTTGTAAAAGTAAAAAAAGAACAGTGCTTGTTGTATTTAAATGTTTCACTTTTAAGGCTGCTCAAGAGACAGTGAGATTCAATTAAGTGCAGCCAAAGAAGTTCAAATATTTGAAACCATTTCGTTTGCTGGGGTCTGACTAGGAAAGTCCATTAACAACAGTCTGCGGGTTTGAGTCCTCCTTGTAGGAGACTTTGGCAGGCCTCTCGGTGGAAGACCTGGGAGCTCCGGCGGCATCGCTGCCCTCACTGTCGGCGGCATTGTTGTTGGAACCATTGGTGGTTGCCGGGGCAGGTTGCGGGCTGTGCTCAGCGATGGCTTCCACCTGACCCTGAAGAGGAATGTGAGATGAACAAGTAATGCACTTCTAATGTATTCAAACAAAGTTACCACAAAGAAGCCAAGAAAAAAAAAACATGAAGCAGCATTTACATTCAGACGTAAAAAAAAAAAGTTAGCTTAAGTAATAAAGTTTAGTAATGGTCAGGCAGACAGACGTAAAGAACTTTTACAAAGGTTAACTGAATTTATTATCACATGACATTTAAGTACTAACCACATCCATGTTCTTCTTGGGTTCGTTGGTGGTCATCTGCCTGCTCTGAGATTCGGCCCTGGATATGTAATCAGCCACAGTCACTATAAAGACAAGACAACAGAGAAGAGAAAACCATCGGTATAATAAGGAGACAGAAGCCACAATGCTTCTTGTCCCATCAGTGCTGTGGAACTCTGAGCAAATCTGTCCCAGTTGTTCAGAACTTCTCGATTTCGACTGCACATCTTGCAATCCCTGTAGATTAGTAGAACACAATGGTGGCAGTTGCAATGTGAGGAATTTTCACACCTGTGCACACCTGACCAATCACTGTGACAAGCAAGCATGGTTGTCAGTTTTCAGAAAGTTACATAAATTAGGTGAGAATTTGGGTGACACAAAGCGAACCCTGTCTTGACGGTTTGAAGAGCTTTTCACTAATTTTGACTCCACAAACATTACGTTTACTGTGACACACCATACAAGACAGGACTGACACTGGTGTAAATGACAAGTTAAAAACAAGTTGTGTCCAAAATATTAGTAAATTACAGTGCCTATGAAATAACAAGAAACAGGGAAGACGCATGTGTGTGCACTAATACAGCTAACTTTGTTAGAAAATGCTGTTTTGCAGTATTAAAATGACAATCCCCATAACTGCATATGTCATTATAAGCCAATCAGTCCACCAGCCAGATTTAATCCTTTAGCATAAGCCAACGAGGACAAACAACACTCAGTTACCAGATAATTCAGTAGATTTGAAAGTTGTTGTTTAGTATGTTGGAGGCACACAAACAAACACAAGGCCTGGTGCACAACTTTTTAGATAAGCCATTCAGAGCAATGACCGGGGGAGGGCACACTGTAAGTCGCCATGGTTACCTGGCTGCCTCTCCTCAGGCAGGCGGATGCGGCGACGTCGACTACGGTTACGACGCTGAGGTTTAGCTTCCGAGTCATCTAGGGGTGTTGGGTCATCACAAAGAGAGTGATTTGGGGCTTACATTGCCTTTAAACTGCACTGGCTTCTATCACATTTAATATGGGACATGATGCACTGCTGCACATTGTGGACAGCTGTGACAGCTAACAGCAGTTAGATTTAAAGAAAACATTTAGAGCATCACTGGACAAAAGAGTACGACTTTCCAACTAAGACATTCTTCTGCAGTGCTGCTTTTCACTACTGTACTGCGGGTGTATGTATGAAGAAGATTGTGATCTTCCCAAACCATGTGATGTCCATACCTATTCCATTTTCACTCATTGAGGCGTTGTCAGACTCGCTCATGCCATCCATCAGTGTGGCGTCCTCATCTGTTCTGCGTCGCCGAGACCTTCTGCGGCGGTTTGCAGGCAAGTTGGACTCGCTAGCATCAGTGTCGGCTGTCTGGTCTGTCTCCGTGTTTGTCTCCAAGACTGCATAGGCATGGTTATCCTCGTGGTCCTGAGGCCCCGCTGCAGAGTCAGGGTCAAATTCACATACAGGTTACAGTCATATGTATGTCTGAATAAAACCTATTGTTTACAAGAGAAAGGTGTGTCTTTGTTTCTCTATATTTGATTTGAAGTTGTCTTTTATACTGTTATGTCCTCTAATTGTGAATTTTACCAGAACTATTGCTGTATCCTCTTCCTCCTCTTCCCCTTCCTCCAGGCCCTCCGCGGCCTCTGCCGGGTCCTGGCCTCCTGCGACCATCTCTCTGTGGCCTAGAGCCTCTCTCCCTCTCCCTGCAAGTCAATCATTCAAAATCTCACACTAAACATTTGAAATAAAAGAAAACGGAATACATAGTAAAAAACATCCACTGCCAAATTGAATGCTACATAACACAAGATAACACAACTTCCATTAATGGCAGTTGAACAATTGTTAAAAAAAAAAAAAAAAATTACCTGTCCTGGTCCTCTCCAGCCAGGGACCAGTCACTGAGTTCATCCTTACGCTCTGAATCAGTCTCAGAGGCGTTAGACTGCTCTGAGTTGGTGCCTGAAATCAAGAAGACAGAGAGATAGCCATAAAGAAAAGTTAGGACAGATTTGGGGACACTGTTGGATCTTTCTTTTTCGTGCAGACTCCCGCACTATTTTCCTTCTAATTTCTTGCACCGGTGCTTCATTCCTGCACAGACTATTTTAACACAATATCTGGCAGCATCTAAGTTGATTTTATAATATTTTAAAGGTGCCTACCATATCCAGTGCTGTAGCTGTGTCCTCTGCGCCCACGGCCGCGACTGTTGTACGAGCGAGTGGCATGTAAGGAGGATGAGGAGGCATTGGCACTGCTGTCTGTATTATACCCTCCTCCTCTCTCGCCCCTCTCTCCTCTCTCCCTGTCAGCTGGTCGGTGACCCTGGGTGATCTGACGTAACTGTTCGTCGATCTGCATCCGCTCCAGACGAAGTTGCTCAACCTCCTACAAGGGAAAAATAAACAGGGGAAATGGTAAGAATGAAGAGAAAGAAAATCAGACAAAAGGAAAAAGGTGATTACACATTTTCGTATTTGAGAAAATCAAGCAAATCTCTGAGAAATGTTTTCTTTTTTTAAGGGTCATCACTGGATACACATGCATAATCATCATACACACATCTACATCACATCCAGTGTGCCTTCTGCTGCTTATTCTGAATCTTGCTAGGCTGGTTCCCTGTGTATAATCCACAATCTGCCTCAGCTCTTCCTCTAGCTGCTGGCCCTCCGCAAGAAGCTCCACCATGTCCTACACACAGTGCAAAACACACACACACACACAAAGCACCAAACACAGCACAGAACATGCAGACAGCACAGGACAAACACAGACATACATACATACACAGTGCAAAATGTATACACAGCAAAATACACACCACAGAGCAGCGAAGTGATCATCTATAAAGATTAGCACAAGCTTGACAAATTCGAATGGCACTCACAATAAAAAAAAAGAAGAAGAATACTAAAACAATAATCAGGTATTTCCGCAAGTTAATTTACTAGACTTACTTCACCAGAGTTAGTAATAAAATATGTGTTGATTTGGTCAATACTGAAAACTTCAGTATTTTTGATCAAATTTCAAGCTGCAGCTCCATGCGCTGCTTGCACTTCTCTTCTTGTGCAGTGGGATTTGTCCTCACTATGACTGTGACTGATTGAGCTGAATATACTCAAAAGGATTTGTTGTTTTTCTGACACTGCGAAATGTTGCTTTGATTCATTTAGAACAAAACCTACATTGTGACCAATCAATCACTGTCATCCAGAGAGCTGAGTCTGACAGTTTAATGTAGTGACTAGATGATAGCTACCCATAAAATATATGGCTTCTGATTTTCCTCGACCTGGTTAAGTACGTTATGTGATACAAGTGTAGCAGAAGTTATCTTTCTTTCAGGTAAAGCAGCTGTCTCTGCTATGAAGTATATAAGTATAATAATCCTTTTATTTACTGCATATAAGCATATAGTGAATATTTTTGCATTTGGTATGAGTTATCCGAATGCGTTTATTATTCATATTAAATCATATCTATTATTACTGATTAACCTTACATTTTTTTCTATGAGATATCACTTTCAATACCCGCACAGCACAAAATCAAAGCAGTGTTACTGTTTAGACTTTAACCAAGATTATGAAGCACTGCAGACATGCTGATAGCCAAGTAAATGTCAGTTGAGCTTTATGTATGCAGATTATTACAACATGTGTCCATTCCATGCACCATTTCATGCTGCCAAATGAATGAAACGCTGGTTGGCAGGGATTGGCAATAAAAGGCTACATGAAATGGCTGTAAATTGAAGCTGTGGCATCGATCAAAAGCAAAGATTTGGCAAAAACACACACAAACATGCATCACAAACAAGCTGTTTTACCCAGTTCAACACACACACACACACACACACACACACACACACACACACGCACGCACGCACACGGGTGTCCTTACATTGAGGTAAGAGATGTGGTACTCCAGCAAAACCTGAACATTGCCAATGCTCTCCTTAGTACCGACAAAGGTGAAGGGGACCATTCCCTGTGTCAACAAAACACAAAAGCACAACACACATGTTAGTATGGGCCTGACTGAAGCAGGAGGAAAAAAGAGGATGACACTCATCACTTCTTTACAAGCAGCTTAGTCAGCTGCAGTAAACATGTTGCAGTAGCAGGCTTACTTCCTGTCGGGGCTGCTTGGTGTCATTGTCTCCTTCTATCCTGACCCTCACAACTCCAGACTTGTCCACAATCTCCTGGATGACCTTACCATTCTTACCGATCACTTTGCCTGGGGACACGACAGCAGGAGACAAGGATGATAAGGGGACTAGTAACAATGAAACACAGCTGCAAGTGAAAAAGCTGATGAACTAGTCAAACTTAGAGCACTTTAAAATGGAGTAAATAACTATGGTACGTGAAGGATTCCTGCATTTTGAGAACTTTGTTATTACTGTTATTTTACACAGTTGCACAGATAGAGTCATTAATATCAAATGATTGTCTTGCAATGTATCAATGTGGTACCAGTGTTATCATGGCCAATACACAGAGCATTTAATTTTCAGCTGCCCTGTGACTGCAGCGAGTAAACAGTTTGGGGGATTTCCAATCTCAGACAGGAAATGTGTGTGTCTACATACCAACGAGGTTCCTTGGCACCTGGACAGAATCCTCCAGAAACTCCAGGTAGTTTCTGGCCTTCTTTACTGCCTCTGCTGTCTAAAAGACAACACAGAGTTACTTTATCTATTATACATTCAACCAACACAAATGCATAGTCAGTAAACATCTGTATGTTCCAGTTACAATTACCACGGTTAACGTCCAAATACAGTTACATAATCGTAAAGAAACATTTGTCAACATGTACACACACTCTCCCACGTACAACCTGATTTGTTTCAGTATGTATACAAGTTCAAGGATGTCCTCACCGTTTCTCTCAACATTTGTTGTTGTAAATACTCATTCATTCCTTCTTCTCATCACTGAAACACTCACGCTTCCAGCAACACTTGGGCACACGTCCCCCTACCTCTCCATAAATCCTGAAAGTGCCAGTCTCCTCATCCAGCTCAATGGCAGTGACACCTGGAACTTTCCGAGCTTGTTGGATGTTGCTGCCGTGGCTGCCGATGGCCAGGCCCATCAGATCCGGTCTTACCATGAACTCCTCCTGGAAGGATGACACCAGCTGCCTAGAGCTCTAAAAAAACACAGCAGAGACAGTTTGATTTGTAGTTATTAATCTTTTAAAAGAGTAAATCTTTTAGTTAATTAATTCATGATCCTGGAACCTCATTTTTTAGCCAAAACTGACCAAAATTATCTCTAAATAGTTAAAAGAGTCGAAAATGTTGTTATTCATCTTTTCAGAAGCTCGCTTAATAGAAATTGCTTCCATTGCTTCCTTAACACTTAACTTTTCATTTCCAGGAGTGTTAGTGTTAAAACTGTCAGAAACGTCACAACAAAGACAATTCCACCATCAGGCTATGTTTTACTACCAACTCCTCTGCCATCACTTTTTCCTCTTTCATTTGAGGTCTAAGCATTAAACTCCCTACGTTACAGGAAGCCTAATTAGGATAAAATTAGTAAAATTTTCTGAATATCAGGCATCACTTTATTGTTCGTCCATGTTTTTATATGTCTTATGGATGCTAAATATGGAGACTTAAAGCAAAGTGTTACAAAGTATCTTTTAAATATTCCTCCAAATTTTTTGACTGCCACAGGCCAGTTCTGAGCAACATATAAATGCTTCTATAAAAAGTTGTGAAACTTGTTTGTGTCTTCAGTCTTGTTTTAGATAACTTCATGTTGTATATGACCTTACGATTACTAATTTCTCATCGTATTACCTTGATGACCAACTGACTTTAAATTTACTCAGTTGAGATTACCAAATGTCCCACCTCCATAGGCAGGTCATCACAGTAACTACACCAAATGTTCTCGTTACCAACTGACCTCCAGGTGTTTTGTAGCCTCCTGGTTGCGTGACATTAGCAGCAGCTTGGTCCTGATGCTGCGCAGGTGCATGTCACTCAGCAAAGACACACGCTTCACTGTTGACTCATTGGTGGACTAAACACACACACACACAAACATGAAATAAAAGAAAGAATTATTAAGTTATGCTGAGCTGCTCCTTTGTTGATGACAACTAGAAGGGAACAAAAAGCAGAGGATTAGAGCAAAACAGTTACCACAATCACTAGTTGGCTGGTCTCGGGGCAGTATGAGATGCGACAGGCTCCCACAGCTTTCTTGAAGTCCTTATGGGCGTTCTCACTCTGGCACCTATGACACAAGATCAGTTCAATGTTTTAAACAGTCCAATCCTTAACTTAACACAGTGTTTACCCCTACATCTGACATACAGCTGACAGTGGACTGGGGTTGGAGAATTGCAAAGCTCTCACAAGTATAGATAATATGCAAGTCCTGCAATAGACTAGTTTTAAGCTATGTATCATTGATTGTGAGGAGCACAAGTATTAAACTTTAAGATGTGTCCACCAATATTGTTGTTGGCGTAAACATGCTGTACATACGCTTCTTGTAGATCCTGAGGAACAGGGACAGAGCACTTGTGAAAGGAATTCTTGGTGATGGCCTTGTTGGGGTTTACTGGACGCAGGCGCTCAAAGGTCACTATCTCATTGTAGGTGGCATCGCAGGCCGCGTACTCAATCACATAGAACTGAAAATACAGAGAAGTTCAGCGTGTAAAATAAAAACCTACAGACGCCAAAGTTAATGTATTTTAACATGTTGATCTCACAGTGAAAAGCATGTTTTCAACTGGCTCTTTAATCTAACAAAAACAGTATTGTAGATACAATACTAGTATGTTTCAACGACCGTGATAATACTGCTAAAGTAGAATTTCAGTCAGAATAGAAAATTGTTAGCATTCATTGTCATGTAAATATTGCCATGTTTCTTTATAAAGAATAATACTCACATCTCCCTTCATCATGCGAACTTTAGCCAGCCACCAACCACAAGGCTCCTGTTCATTGGCTCTGGAGAGGATCTGCCAGCAGGTTAAGACAGAGTAACATGCCGACATTAAGGGACAACGAAGGAAAAGACGAAACAGAAAAAAAAACACGACAACATGTGTGTCCTCCTCACCTCCACCTCCTCGCCCTCTCCAATCTCTTTCTTGGCGTCAGCAGGCGGTGGCAACCTGACATCACTGAAGGGCACCTGGCGTTCTGGCTGCCAACTGATAATAAGACAGTGATTTCCGACCTTGTTAAAACACATTAGTCCTACATTTGTCTTAAAACTTTTGAACATGCCATGTTTTATAACTGCTGGTGGAAGAAAAACTCACTTGTTCTCAAAGGCAATGGTGAGAGAGTCATCGTGGATATCTTTGACAAAGCCCTGCAGGACAGACAGAGGTACAGAGAGGGGGTAAGCACATACCAACATGATAACTGACTGACTGAAATAATGAGCACCCTATTTAAGTTACAACCACTACGCAGGACAGAAAGAATACATAAGGAGGTGACTTTAATTCTTGAAGAAAGTTCTTATCTCTGTGAAGGACATACAAATAATTTACACCCAATAATTTGCACATGCTGCGAGGTACAGAGCAGCGTGAGCTTCAAGGCGAGTCCATTGAAATCTCAAACATGTCACGCAACTGTTCTCTAGTATGCCGTGCTATATTCATCACATCATATGTTCCTGGCAATCTTGCTGTCATGAGTTTCCTTATAGACAAAACTCATATTTACTTTTAGCTGATAGACATTTGTGCAGATAAATTTAAGACAATGAGTATGATGGTGAGAGTTATGTGATTTTGTAGAGCTGCAACAATTAGCTGAATGACAGAAAAATAATCAGCAACGGAGCTTCTCTTTCGTGAGGATGTTCTGCTTTTCTCCGTTTTAAGTGAACATAAATTGTGATATCTTTGTGTTTTGAACAGTTGGATAATTAAAACAAGACTTCTGAAGACATCACCTTAGACTACGACTAACTGTAATGCCACATGACTGATCAATGGACTATTTATAAGGAAAGAAAAAAACCTCAAACTCCATACTGATGAGCACGAATTTGAGAATATCCAAACTTGTTAACTGGAAGAACAGTGCATCAATTTATACAAGCTCAAGAGCATGTTTTAGCACCGGATTGTAAAGTGCACACTAATGCTTTGATACAGCCTGTCATTAGATCTTGTCTCTTAATGTACATTAATACTTAACAGTGGTTTGGGCCAACATTTACCAACACGTGGTAAAAAAAGTTCTGTTGATTGACAGAGGAACCAAAATATAGATGTCATTTATAAACGCCTTGAGCAGCATAAATAAAGTTCCACTCACATTCAGTTCATTAAAGACGTGGAGTGAGTGTCAGTGGTAGATAAATGAAAGCCTCGACAAATAAACTAAAACTACAAGCATGGCTTGACACCGTGGAGAGACGAGGGAATTTTTAGGAGTAACGTGGGTGTGCAGTGTTAGTACAGGCCATGTGTAACATGCCAAAAGTGACTTTACTGGTATTTGTAATTCAAGGATATGCTATTAAGTGGCAAAGCATGCAGCACAACAGAAGCTGAGTAAATTTTTGTCTACTGTCTTTTACACACTATCAATTAACTTTGTGCTATTCATGAAAATAGGGCAATTTTCAATTCCTAACTACTCTAGAGCCAAAAAAATCATGCTATGTAAAATTGTTAAAGGATAAAGCTTGCAATATTCTATATTTTATTTATTGTCAACAAATTCCATAAAAAAGACAAAACCAACAATGAATGTATCCTACTAACAAGAACCATTGTTGTCCAAAAACTATTTAAAAACACCCCAGTGAGCCTCACAGCCTCTGGGTGTCATCTTCCCCGTAATCACAAACACAGGCACTGTAAATGATTTTTATCTCAAACCCACAGACAGTCCGAGTACTTATCCAAAGCTGAAAATAAGTACATTATGACATTAGGTTACATTATTACATTAGGTGACACAATGAATACCTACCAACTTCACAATGTACCCCTATTTGAGTTATATTTGCTCAAAACTACAAATTCCTGAGCCTTTTTATTTTATTTTTTTTTAAATTTAACTATGCTATAGTGCTGTGTGCTTCAACTACAGAATAACAGTGTTGAATTTGTTCTTGTAATCGCACTTGTTGATACGAAGAAAACTGTCGTTTAAAAGCACCACTAAATAACAGTCCTACAACTCAAAGAGTTTCAGCCTTGGCAACTGGCAAGTAGGGTAGTGGACAAAGTGACTCATGAGGGCTGAATTGACACAGAAAGGCAGGGAGGAGAGGTTCAGTCTGAGGCAGAGAGGTGAGGCCAGGACGGGACGAAAGAAACGAGGGAATGAGTGCAGCGAAGGAGATGAGAGAAGGGAAGAGAAAGATGGGAGGAAAAGGAGACGGGACTATTACTTTAGGCAGCAAGTCTAGAAATAGCTTTTAAGTCTGCGGTATCAGTGACCCTCCCCTGACATGCCAGCTGGTCAGGATTGACAAGGAACAGCTGGCTCACACATACACATAGCTTGGGCATGATGAGGTATCAAATAATAGACAGCGACAGACAGACAGACGTACAGTTCAACAAGAAATCACTGTCACAACTGGCCATGGTGCCTCTTTAATACCACATACTTTAACAAGATAGCTTCATGGTCAAATTCTGATGGATTAAATACCTTATATAACAGCGACACAACTCCAATATCCGAATTAATGATACGGTTATTTTCAGTTTCACAGTTTCACTTTAGCCACATCTTTTGACGTCAACTAGCAACTTAGCTAACTTTTAGCTCGGGGTAGCTACAACCTAACGTAAAGCAAAATAAGTAACAGGTTAAATCGGTTATATTTTCCAGTTATCGCAGACAAGATCGTGTGTATTCCACTCTGGGTGTGAAGAAAGGTCGCTAAAAAGTGACACAAGGCGAAGACTGGCGAGCGATGCTAGCTTAGCCGGCTAATGCTGGCTAGCATTGCTAGTAGAAGCTAATAACAGGCACTTAAGAGGTATCGGACCAAGTCGGAACATGTTGCTGTAGTCCATGAGACTTCAGCTAATGTACTGTATCGTGTGATGGGCTATCGTGTTTGATGTTGGGTTGATAAGCCGGTATTTACCTTGTAATAAGCCCCGTTGGAGCCACGGACCTCCACCGCCAGTTCTTCCATATTGGACACGCAAAGGATGTTGGGACGACAGGTGCTCCTTAAAGCATCAGCGAGAAGCCTAGACAGGTGAGAGGTGACTAAGGCTGCTCCGGGGTATTCAGTTACAATACAAATGTGCTTAACTCATAGAAATCAAAGTTAGAGTGTGTTTACTCGTGCTGGCAGCTCAATAAGCTTCTCGATGTCATTTATTGCCATGTTTTAGGGGAAATAAGCATCAATCTACTGGAGAGTTTGGTGACTGCCAAAAAAGCAGGGGTGTAATGGAGCTGAGGATCCAGGGCACCAGCATGGGTAGGATCCTCAAAAAGCCTGGAATTAAAGTTTATGAGGTTATATCTCCCATTTATTAATTTTGCATTATTAGCATTATAAATAAACAGATATTGTTTGACTCTTTCATGTTTCTAAAACAATATTCAAGCCTCTCAGTGTTTAAGACTGATATGCTATTAATTTAAATGATCTTTATTTGTAGAGCACTTTTCAAAATCAAGTTATACTGTGCTACAACAGGGCTGCAAATAGAGTTTTATGAATCATCCTTCATTCTTCTCTGAAAAAGTACTTGCTGTGCTCACCTAAAAGAAAAAGTAGATAGAGACCTCACCTCATTTTCTGTGAAGAGTTCTGGTCGCTCTGCTCTATTTTACAGGTGTGGATCTGGTCCAGTGAATCCATTCTCAGTCACAGTGTGACCACTGTAAATGCAAGTCAGTTCAAAGTCAAACAGAGTGATGACATTTGTCCTACGGTGAAGCATTTCTGTCCTGATGAGAGTTCAGTCTTCCAGAATGATAACAGCATCAGTGGTCCCTGAATGGGCTGATGAGCATGAAAACAGTGGGAAAAAAACATTCATCATGAATATCCTGGCCACCAGATGCAACTGAGCAATAATGATGATGATAATATGAGATATTTTAACTCAGTGCCCAACAGAACAACTTTCATCAAAACTGAAAGCTATGTTTATGACATCTTTGCAGCAGTGGTGGACGAAGTATTAAGTCAAAGTACCATGATCAAACTTGTAAAAATGCTTTTATACTATTCACAACTATTCAATGCAGAGAAACCTCAAAATACATTTTCAAATCTAGTCTTCAAAACAGTTGCCAATTAATTCTCTGATATTCACTATTCATCTACTAAACAGTTGAGCTCAAATTATACAGCTGGGGTAGTTTAATCGTCTTGTTCTTGTTTTGTACATAAAAATTTAATTTGTAAAATAACTGTTACCGTCAGATAATTAAGTATAAATTAGTATACAGTACAGCATTGCCCTCTTAAATATGGTGGAGTACAAGTATAAAGTCTCATTAAATGGAAATACTCAAGTAAAGTACAAGTACATTGAATAAGTTGAGTTATTGAGACACTTAAGTTTGTTATTTCTCTTATTTTGTAACTGACTGGCGTGTACTGTGGATCTGGATACACTAATGCAATACAACGAAGAATCACCCTACTCACCTTTGTTATCTGAACCAGTATCTAATAGTATTTTTATTCTTTTGTGATGTGGAAGAGTAACAAACACAAACATTTCAGATGATGCCATCCTCAGTGTGCAGGCTAGAGTATTGTAACATTCTGTATTGCATTTCCCCCCCCTAATGCTAGGGCCTGTTTCCCAGCCTGTTTACTAATGAAACATTTAATTATTAAAATCATATTTACAAGGTTGAGAGTCAGATTTATCATAATTGGCTCATTTACCATCATTTTAGCAAACCGCCACGCATCCTGCACAGAGGAGGAAATAACGTGATGCAGTGTGAAAGCTGTAAAATACAACACAGCCATTTTTTAGGCTCAAACTTGACACAGTATCACATTTTTAATACCAAGTACTTGAATAAAAATACCCTTACGTCTAGTGAGCAGGTGATGCTGATGGCTTGTGAGTCCAACATTACTGTGTCCTTCATTCATCCTGTGATACAGCTCGAGCATAGTTCGAGATTGGTGTTTGTTTGATTAGCCTTGTGTATTGTTCATTCACATTCACAAATTCTTGGGCAAAGCTGCTTTGTGACAGTTTAGCTTTGGTAGACAAATACTGATTAGACTCTACACTGAGTGTAGTAGTCAGTCAAACAGAGAGCAGCCTCTGGCTCATCTTTTAGAAACAGCCACTGTGACACCTAGTGGCCAACAGTTACCCTCCTGGGGACTGTTCTCTGCTTTACTGAAGATATTTATTCTGATTTGGCACCACCACGAGACAGCACCAGAGATGCACTACAGCAAAGCTTCATGGTAAAATAAACCTCAGTAGGGTATATCTGTGTAAAATCATGCTGGATATAAACCCTGTTTCTAAGGTTTAAATCAAACCAGGTTTGGAAATAAAGACAATATAATGTTATTAGCAATTAATTACAAGAATTCACTGGAGTAATTTCGGATTTGGTCAGTGTTGGGCTCAAATAAAGCTACATTGGGTTAGATCATGTTGGACTGAAATACAAATTGTTGTCACACATCAATTTATTGTCAGTTAGGAAAAAGTTTCTCTTCGCCCTTCACAGTCATGAAATCAAAATAATAAGCAGTTATTAAAATTAATTGATCTGGAGGAAGTTCCCGAAGGTAAAAAAAGAATAGCCCCCAACTCCAAAACTCAAAACGAATGAGTGTAAATAGTTATATATCACAAAATTAATTTGACTGGTTCTTAGATATACAGATTATGGCATGATGATGACTAAATCTATTATGTATAATTTATATTTATCATTACTATGATACAGTGAAAAGCTTTCAGCAGTAAATCTTTATATTTTCAATTATGATATGGTGAAACAACCTATTTTTCACCTGAAAGTCAAATTCTCTTTAGTTATGTGTGAATATACCTGTAATTTATAGGGAAGAAAAATTACTGGCTGAACCTCTAAGACAGTTTACTCAGTGGCTTGTTGGTGTTATTTAACAGATCAACAGGTAAAGGACAAGTATTTTGTCTTACTATTTTTTTTTAATTAAAGTTAACTTGAGGATGACAATAATAATGCAGTATAGAGTACAAGAGAGGATGTAAAATATGACATCCACATCACATATCAATATGTCCCATATAATTTACTCAAAAATACTCATTTTCATAGACTTTTTCTTTTAGACTTTTAGACTTTATTTCACAGTGACCCTTCATAGAGCTACATGGACAAAGTTACACGTGAAGATAAAAGAAAACATAAGAAGATAAAAAAAACTGAAATAAAGTAAAATGACAGTGACACTGCCTCTTAAATAAGTAAATAGGCCTAAATAAATGTGCAAATTAGCAAACAAGTGCACGGCAAATATTTAATATCTAAGAAGGAGCTTTTATACTATAATGCATCATTCAAAATGAAGAAATTGTTAATATATAAGGGCATGTAAAACATTTTCAGGCTTTGCTACTTTTTTGTTCCATTCGATTTACTGCAGTGGCTACACAAAAAACAGGCTCAGAAAACAGCTACACAATTAAATTAAGATGAATTATTGCACAGCAAAAAATACAAAAAACATATCTTAAAGGATGTTTCAAGGCGTCTTCTGATGTACTCTGACACTGTGATGAGGCAGAGATGCAGACAGCGTGTTCCTGTGGCGTTTGCAGTGTGGTCTGAGCGCTGTGCGTGTGTGTGTGTGCAGCTCTGTGGTGAAAATATTCCGCTTGGTCTGAAGACATTACCACAGACCCTCACAGTCTGCCTGATAGTCTGTCCTCACGTTCTGATTTAAACCAGTTTACCAATTCCATTATGCTAAGCCCGAACACTGGTTGGGAAATGATGAACGATTATGTGAAACACATAATCTCCCTGCTGCACCATCATTGCAATATGACAGCCAAATTTCATTCATCCTATCCAATTTCTTCCTTATTTAAGGAAAGAAAATTACTGGTCCCAGTAATCAGATATGTAGCGAGGCTGTGTGCAAGAGTTAAGCCCACTCCCATTAGGCTTTCTGCCTTGCTCCTGCTGTAGTCAAATGCATGCACACACACAGGAAGACAGATACACATGTTCCACATGTCTGACCCCCCTCAGTTCTCACATCCCCTTTCACCCGTTTCAAGGACTATTATTTGGCCTTGATATATTCTCTACAACATCATGCGTTAGCGATGCCAGTTTGAAACACAGTGTCCCTTAAGTGGTTTAGAGAGCTGCAGACAGGCAGTTCTCCCACACACACACACACACACACACACACACACACACACACACACACACGTCAAACTCTCCCTTCCTCTTCTCTCTCTTCTGAAAAAGGCCTGCACAAATGTTCTCTCTCCAAACAACAACATCATTTTTGAAATTAGGCTAAATTAGATAAGAATGCAATTTTGTCTTTCTGTCCGTGATTATCCTCTAACAAAAATCAAACGTAATGACGAGACATTATTTGGCACCAATATTCATTTGCCTTCTTTCTCTCTGTTTCTCTGTGGAGCAAAATCACCAGCGAGCTGCTATATTAAACACCATGTAATTTATTGCTAATACACTCTGGATATCATAGGCTCTTAGGAAGCTCCAGTGTCACAAACAGAGAGAGGTGTATTGAGCCTATGACTGTTTGTTCTCCTCCACACATGTCCCATTTCTCTCTCCAATCGGGAATGCATTATAGGTGTAATTGAAAATTAGTAGTACATCTTTTTTTCTTTTTTTTTTTTTAGGGGGGTAATTTATGAGGCCTCATTGTTCCTGTGTGACACCTCCAGGGCCTGTTTCTAACAAGGAGCCTGGAGCACCGAGAGGCTTTCTGCTTGCCCAGGCCCTGCAGCACTCTTTCTGCTTTGTCACTAATTGTGGCCTCCTCTCCACTGAATTGTGATTTGGGTAAAAGAGCTTGTTGGCTCGATGCAATGAAGCTGCCGGTGACGCTCTCGCCATTATCAAAGATACTCTTGATCTTTTCAAAAGCAGGAAATAGATTTTTTTTTTTCCCAAGCCCCTGTTCAATCACACGGGGGGTTGGGGAGG